CCCAGAGGTGAAGCAGCATGGACACCTGCCTGTTGGGATGGGGAGCAACATTAGACAGAGTACCAGTTCAGAGCTGATGGTCCAGGAGCGAGACAAGTTTACCCATCAACCTCTTGGAGCTTTGAGTAATTCATCTTGCTCTACTCCACTTTGGTATGCAGATAGTCAGTATATCTTGATAAGAATGGACAGCATGTTTAACAACGGTCCATTTTTAGCATTGATCAGAAAGGAAATTTCCTTCGCGTTTCAGCAGTTGCTTGTCCTGATGCTTCCCCTTCTATGCCACTCCCAGAGTTGCAACAGGAGGTGCTCCAGCTTTTGAATAAAGGGTACATTGAGCCTATCCTACTTCGTGAGTCCAGAACAGTTTTAATTCTCGTCATTTCCTAGTTGATAAGAAGGGTGGTGGTAAACATCCTATATTGGACCTAAGGACTCTTAATAAGTTCCTTGTAGTCCCTGAGTTTCGCAGGACCATGTTACAGGAGGTCATAGGCAATGCTCCCTCTAAGCTGTGGAGTCTTCTGAGCAAAATTATACTTTGTGAGCTACTGACATTATAGTTGTGAGCAAGCAATTTGGCTACTGCATAGATTGGTTTGTCCTGGAGCCATCCTTCCTGAGCTAAGACAAAAATGCGTGAGCTGGAGGGTAAAAAACGGAGCTAGCTCACACTAACTCCACTGCTCATAGGCCTGATTTGCCCCCATGACTGGTTTGCTATTATTAACCGTGAGGATACCTACTTCCATATTGCTATACAGTCCAGATTTGAAAGTTTCTTCATTTCCAATGCGGCCAGGCCTGCTGCCAGTATGTTGCCCATCCCTTTGACTTGGCCACTGCTACCAGAGTGTTCACCAAATTCATGTACGAGGTAGTTGCTCATCTACGCTTAAGCGGCTGCATCATCTATCCCTACTTAGACAATTGGCTTTTTACTGCATTCTCCTTTAACCTACTAGCTGATTGTGGTTCCCTAACAATCTCCACTGTGAATTCTCTGGGCCTTCAGAGTAGTTGAAATAAATCCATCCTATATGCAACTTGGTCCATCGTATTCATTGGGGCCCTCCTAGAGTCCGATAGAGGGAAAGCTTCTATTCCTCAGAATAGGACAGCCTCCGTATGAGTAATGGCCCAGAGATTTGCCTGCAATGGATTTCAGTCTATCAAGCCCATACAGAGGCTTCTAGGCCTCATGGCCTCTACTACTGCCGTGGTCCCCTTTGCGTGATTATTCATGAGGCTTCTTCAGACCTGGTTCCTCAGATCCACCAACATGCAATCAGACCCCCCACTCCCCGAATGGAAATTGAAATTGTCTATTCCTAGAGCACTAGTCCATTCCTTAGGTCA